AATATTAAGGGGAAGGGATTACCAGATGTGAGCGTATTGTCGGATGCATGCCTGCAGGAGGCGCAAACATCAGATTCAGCAGCCCCACACGGCGACCCACACAAGCACTCCCTGCCTAAGCCACAGTCGGCGATTATCGGCGAATGTTGCATGACGCGACACAAGTCCAATCTTGGCAAACAGCTGGGCTGCGAGGCCTTCACTTGTACCCATGCCGCCGCCAAAGTTCACAACCCGGGACCCGTTGTCTTTTGCGTTACGTGCGGGGCCCAGCAGCAGGGGCATTTCAAATGCATTAACTGCGCATGGCTGCTCTGAGTCCATCCGGCGACTTCCCGGTCGCGGCCTCCTCGCTCTGCACGTTGACTTGCCGAAGACCGGTGAGGATCGGAGAGACGTGGCCGCTGAAGGCGCCAGTCAAAAGAGATTTCGCAATGTTCTGTGCCGGTACAGTGGCTGTATCCTTTGCATCCTTTGCCACACTTCCATGCTTGGTGCAGCCTTGAAGCCTCATCTTGCAAGCCTTGCAAGCTTCCAGCATCTTCTCGCCATGGGGAATTCCGCGACATGCTGTGCATCTAGCACTGCTCAGCACTTGGAAGCCTTAAGGTGCTGGACTTGTCAAATTGCCAGCGCGCCTGCCAAGTCCAACGAGAAGCCGGAGGTGACGGTGGCGACCACCACAGCTTCACCACCCCCCGAGGACTTTGTCAGTACTGAATGTGTACGGACTGTACTGGTTGAGAGTCCGGCAGCCTTAGCGCAGGAACCCGAAAAGGCCGAGAAAGGCCCCATCAAAGCAGAGACGGCTGAGCCGAAGACACGGGTGGCATCGAGCTTAAGACCCTTAGAGACGGAGTTGAAATCTACGGTGCTGTTGGTAAAAGTACTTCAAGCAATACTTGAGACGGCCTTTTTCCATCACAGGGTTCTGGAAAGCTGTTCGCATTGCCTCCAGAGTCTTGCCCTGACAAAATGCGAGTTCCAGAGTAGTCACGCGCCCCACACTTGAACACGATCAGCGACGATGCAGCTCTGCGCTGCATTCAACTACGGGCTTTCCAATTCGATCTCAGCAAGCTCAGTTGCAGCACAGTTCAACAATTCAGGCACTCTGTGTGGCGGAGATGCGGAGGCTTAACTACAGAACCCCATCAGGACGGAGAAAACACGATAAAACCTGAACAAAGAAGAACATCTTGGAATGTTGAGGCAAGATTTCTGTGAGTCCAGGTGCTTCGCTTCGTGCTCCCGGACGGTGGAACTCAAGATATCGAGTTCGAGAACAAGCCTCGATCTCAAAGTTGAAAAGTTGTCCTTTGAAAGAAGCGCGCGAGATTTCCAGGCCTCTGGGGATCGACTTCAGCCGGAGCCTGCCCTTGACATGCAAGCGCCTGAAGCCGGGGATGCAAGGTGAGAAGAAGGAGGCGCCGGATCCGAGGATCTACACTTGTCCAAACCTTCTAAGCCTTTAAGCCTCAGGTGAAGATCGGCTGGTGCGTGACGCACATCAATGATGCACCTGTCCCTGCAGCCTGCTTGCACTTGCTTGCACGTTTAGGCCGCCCCGCACACTTCAACACAGGATCACGTGGCCCAACACGAAAGGCCTCGTAAGAACAAAGATGTTTCTGGATTCTGAGGGTCTAAATTCCTGAGCAGGTGGGAGGTAAGCTCTGACTGCTCCATGCAAAGCTGAAGCGAATTTGGCTTGGGGGTTGCGCATGTTTGCTTCAAGAAGGTCGGTATTTCAGAAATTTCCAGAAAGATTTAAGCCGTCTAAGCGACCATTGATTGGAATGAAGCATGTTGATGAGACATATGAAAGCCCCAACCCCACCCCCCCCCCCAAAGGACCCCCCCCCACCCCATTGCATGGCATGGAAGACTTTCACGTTTTCAGTGTAAGCACACGCTTCTATTCCTCATTTCTTAATGAACTGATTTAGAGTCAACAAATTGAACATAACAATCTCAAAGCTAACTCAAATTGAACATAACAATCTCAAAACTAACTCAAATTGAAATCAGTGAATCTTTCTGTTGCTCGGTAATTCAATACATGGACCCAGTCTGTTTAGTGTCTCCAGGGTGAAGGATCAGGCCATCAGGCGTCAACGATCAACTGCCAACATCTGCCAACCACTTGTCTGCTCTGTTTGGCAACAGCTTTGAAAGGTTTCAGCATCGGGCATGTTTGGAGAGGAGCTGTCAGAGCTTCATGTGACAATTTCTGCATGCCAGGGCGAGTTTGAAGCACCCTGCAAGCAGTTGTGAAGGATACGGGAAAAGAGCATGTAACACAGCAAAAGACGAGCCCCTTCGATGCTTTTCCTCTAAAAGCAGTGCTCACTTGCGAACTAGACAGGAGAAAGGTCGACTTATCGGCATATTTTATATGAGTCGTCATGTTCCAAGATTGCGAACGAGATCGTCACGTTCCGCTCGTAAGAAGTAAGATCAAACACACCTTCAACGAGATGAAGAAAAGGTTCACAAGCACCTCAGACTTCATAAATGGTGCGAGCATCGCGTCAAAAGATGTTAATTTGCTCACTTGAGCAGCCCAGCAGACAGCTACTGCAGCTGCTAAGTGGTGGCCACACTGCTTTTGGCATCATCTCGCATCGGCAGCCACGCTGACAGCAGCATTGTGCCGAGGTGACTTTTGACGAAACGCTGAAGACACTGCAACAGGCTTCGGGAAGTGGGTAGTCTCGTGCTGCATGCTTTAAAAAGAGGGGCTGGGGCTGCTTTGGCTTTGAATTGCCTTTCGCCGTTGAAATGTTGAAATGGCAAGCTTCGCTGAGCTGAGTCTGCTTCACTGGTGTGCAGGCAGTGAGTGTGCTGCCGGCTGAGGGCAGCAGGGCCCCATAGGAAGTGAAGTCATACAGTGTCCCTGGACCATCTGAAGGCAGCGGCAGGTAGCCGTGCGGAAGCGTAGGGGAGCCGTAGTGTAGAGGATTCTAGGCTACCACGTCACGACGTGCACGTCCTTCTGCTGGTCTAGAGAGTCTAGAGAGTCTAGAGTCTAGTGCTTAAGCTCAGCTGCGGAGCTGCGGGCCGACGGCTCGATGGAAGCTTCAACTGTCGTCAAACGACGCGGTCAGTAACTGACGCTGTCAGCCTAAGCATCTCCTTCCGTCACAGGAAGTCGAGAGACGGCGAGAGACATCTGAAGAACCCTGAACTGTGCCACTGTGCCTGAGCTCTGCTAAAACTTTGCTCCGCTTTGCTATGCCATGCTGTGCCTTTAGGCCCTAGTTGTCTGTGCATGTGCGTGTCTGTTGTGTCTGTATGGTTAGATGTCAGGGCAGCAGCGGCTAGCAAGGGAAATTGGCTCATTGCTCAGTCTGGCTCGAATTGCCATGTCAATGCTCAGCTTCAGGACTATCACAAGACTTGATTATCAAGTGACAGATGGCAGGGTGACCAGGGTGAGGAGGTTTTGGGAGTTGGTGAAGGCCTTGAAGGGCTTGGGCTCGGGGCCTGAAGGCCTGATTCGTGATGTGCCCAGAAGAAGGGCGCTGCGATAAGGAGGGAAACACGCAGGAGGCAAGGTGAGGGGCGAGGGGAGGGAGACAAGAGGGTGAGCAGGGCGAGAGCAGGGCGAGAGCAGGGGGAAGGCAGAATGAATGCCGGAGCTGACGGTGAAAAGGAGTTTCGTTTGTGCCAGGCGACATGAGCGTGCCGAGCGTGCCGGCAACCCGGCGCGTGTTCAAGAAAACGCAGCACCTTGGAAAAATGCCGCGCCTGCTTTCATGTTTCATATCATGGGAACACACGAACGTTTGTTTCCGAAATTTTCTGAAGGCTTTGTAGCTTCTGGGTGCGCGGCGCCTGCAAACGTGGGGCAGCCTGTGCCTTTGCTCACGGGGAGGCGAGTTTGTTGGCGAGAGTTCTTCGAGTTCTCTTTCGGAAGATGCTTCACCTTTGCCTCTTTGCCAGTCTCAGCTGCGGGAGACACCAGATTTGTCGAAGACAAAGACGCTCAGCCAGATGTCAGCCTTGAATCCTGTGGCAGACCGAGCACATCTGAGGATTTGCAAGATGTTCCAAACGGGCGCCTGTGAGCCGCATGCACAGACCAGGGGAGGTGAAACGTGAAAAGAACGTGAAGTAAAGAGGACCTTCTTTTGCCAAGGCTCGGCGAGAGCTGCACCTTCGCCCACTGCCGGGAGGAGCTTCGGTCCCTCAGACCTAAGCGGGCCGGAGACCAAGTTCTCCAAGTGCAAACTTTGTTTCGCCGGGTTCGCGGGTTGGTGATGAAGTGAAGCTATGGTGAAGCCTGTCAGGCATCCTCAAATGTTCTCGTAGAGGTGAAGCGGCTGGCAGCAAAGGTGCAAGGGATGGAAAGGATGGAAAGGGAATGGAGAGGGAAGAAATTCAAAAAAGCTTTGAGGTGCGGAGCGCGAACTCCGCAGCTGGCAGCGGCGGAAGTCTTTCAAGCCAGGAGCTCTCTGAGGAACTCTCAGAGGTGGGATACGAGTGCTATGCCGTGGTGGAGTTTGAGAGCCTTGGCGAAAGAGAGTTTGAAAGAAAGTGTTCTTAATTGTTGAAAATTTGGCGAAGCTTTACGAAATAAAGTGTTGACTTAAAGTTGTGTTGAGAGCGAAGTGTGCGAAGTGTGAGGTCTGTGGACTTGGTGGTGCGGCAGCTCATGAGCCCCGAGGCGGAGCTGCCTGAGGAGGGGCTGCTCTTCAAGCTCTAAGGGTTCAGGGCGACGGAGAGTTCAACGAATGATTCTATAGTCCTTTTTGCTTTTTTGCTTCTGATTCTTCTGGCAATGTTCTGACATGCTCCACATTTCTCTGCGGCCGTCTACGAATCGATGTGATTGCCTGTCACTACAATACGTGGTGGCACTGAGAAATTGAATAATCTCAAGTGGCCCAGAGAAGGAGAAAAGGAGAGAAAAAGACCCAGCTGCGCTCTGCTGCTCTGTGTAGACGTTGTGTGTACTAAGCAGGACTCTGTCTGCTCTCTGGCTCAAAGACATGGCGCGATGGAGCGGGCGCGGGTCCGCGTCACCGGCGTGGTCAAGAAGACCGAGGCGCAGGCAACGCGCAGGGGCAGTGCTTTGCAGTGCTTTGCAGGGTTTTGCCTTTCGAGCTCCCTCGTCAGGCCTGGGCCGAGAAAGACCGGCCGGTGCCGGGGCCGGCCACAGCCAAGGCCCAAAATTCGAGCGCGAAAAATCAAGAAGGTTTTTCTGACCCGTGCACTTTTCCCTCAGTCCGCGGGCCGGGTGGTGAGCGCCGGCCCCGCGGCAGCCTTCGCTGAGGGTGCTGGGAGCTGAGAAGCGGCAGCAGATCGCAATGCAAAACTTCTTTGAGAAGTGAGGCACGAGTCGTGGGTCAGGTGCAGGTTCAGGCGCGGTCCGTCGCCAAGGCGGGCAAGATTACCATGTTTACAAAGGTTCACCACAGAATGGCTGGCTTTCAGATTCAGCATCCAATCTCTCCTCCTTTCCCTCCCTCTCTCTCTCTGCCTCT